AGTTCTCAGTATAGTGAAAAATATGGAGACATAGCTCAAACTTATCAGTGTAAGTGGAAGAATACTAAAAGGAAAGGTGACTATTGAACCTACAATTTCAACTATGTAGGTGTCAGCAGAAGGCAACTGCAAAAATGAACCCAGATCACAAAGCACATGGTCAATAATATTGGACCCACAGTACGTTAAGTTGCAGATGGAGATAATTAAGAAGGCCATTGCTATAAATCCAGGAAGCCAGCAACACAAAGATAGGTGATTTTGCATTTTGTTATTCATGATGGCTGAATACCTCAGTGGGTTGCAAATAGCCAAATATCGGTCATAGGCCATCACTGTAAGGAAAAGACATTCACCGCTTCCCACCGATGCTCCCAAGTACAACTGAGTAACACAACCATAAAATGAAATTGACGCACCATTTCCCCAGATAACATACAATATGAATGGCACAAATATGGTGGTGAAGAGTATCTCACAAATAGATAAATTGCACAAGAAAAAGTACATGGGTGAATGGAGTTTTTTATTTGTAGTTATTAAACTGATTACCAAGGAGTTCCCAAATATAATGATAACATAACATAGTAGGAAGAAGACAAAAATTAAATATTTCAGATCTTGGAGATTCCCAAACCCCAGAAGAACTAGTTGCATTGTGTTTGTTTTATTGTGTTCACAAGTGACCTGATGATTGGAGATTTAGAAAAAAAAAAAAGTAAAATGAATTAATGATTTTTTAAGGGTCAATCTGTTCATTGATGTTTACATCACATCTATAGTCTTAACTTTTGTTTTGTTTTAGGAAGAGTTTGGAAAGATTAGATTCCCACTCAGGTTTTACCACTATGCTGGAGATATCCCCTTACTTCCTTTCCCTAGGAACAACGTCTTCATCAGACAGAAAATGAGGGGAAGAGCAACACAGACAGACTTTATTGTCTGTTTCCGATGCTGATTTTCCCTCAATTTCCAAAAATATTTTTTTCCTTCCTTACAATTTTAATTAAAATTAATTTTAAAACCCCTTCACACCTGAGGGTAAAACAAATCTCAATGCCTAAGCACAATTCTGCAACGTTGACCTGTGTTAGTAAAACCGTACATATCATCACAAACTACTTTGTACATCCAGGTGGATTATACCTTGATTTTTTCAGGACAAATTGGGCTTTCTTTTGGTGGTAAATGGTAATGGAAAGCTCCTGATTTTTTTTTATTATCAAAGGAAAATTGGCCCAAAATAGTAAAAATAAATATTTGTTTTTATTTAGCTGCATGTTTCTTGTTACTACCATAACCTACCACCAAAGTACAATCCAAAATAAATTCTCCAGCTCTTGACGATCGCAGCGACACTATATATGTGTATGTTATTTGTTGTTTGTACCCGTAGTACAGCCCAGAAACAATAGTGCGCATATTGTTTTTGTCTTTTTTTTTTTTTACCTAAAACACACTGACATTGACACTAACTGACACTGATACCACTTTTTTAAAATCCTGACCTTTGAGTTTGACCCATGACCCTGACCTTGACCCAAACACTAACCCTGGCACTGAACTAGATCAAACCTTGATCTAGGTATTTTTCTTTATTTTTTCTTTTATTTTTTTAATATTTATTTATCTTCTTTTTTTTTTTACAAAATTTTTTTTTTTCTCTCTATGCCAGGAGTTAGAGAGATACAATGTATAATAGAATGTATATAATGATACAATGTATCTCTCTTCTCCATTCATAGAGAGAGAAACAAACAAGGGGGCCAGGATGCACAGTGACTAATCACTGTGATAGCCAATCAGAGGCTATCACAGCCATCTTGTGACCCTGAATCGGGAGTACCGGGTCCCAATCATTAAAACGGGACCCGGGGCTCTCAGTGACACCGCGGTCTTTGTGCTGGGAGCGCGCCGAGCACAAAGACAGGTACGCAAATATGTGGCCCCACGGAAAAAAGCCCAATTCCGTGAGGCCGCATATTTGTTTGACGTCGGCGTCAAGGGGTTAACTACCTACAGCTCTTCCCATCCAGTCTAGCAAGGGGTTGATCTGTAGGAGATGTCTCCCATTTTTTCACACAACAAAGCCTAGTATACAAGATGAGACTATGGGATTAATCATTGCTTTTACATATAGATTGCTTTTAGAAATAGATGACTAAAGTTACAAAAATTCAGACTACAACTTCCAGTGATAATGTAATGTATGACAGAATATTGTATTGTAATGTATTCTTTAATTTCCAAACATTCGAAGTCTTGGTCACTAAATGTTTTACGGACGAATTCCATACTGATTAGACAAAAAATCATTCATGTTTATCCCTTTGGAAAATTGTGCATAAACTGTCGTGATCGAAAACTGTGTACTAATGATCAGATTATTGGACGATCACCGAAAAAACATTTTTTTTGTCCGATTTTCTCATGTGTTCTGGGTATTAGGGTTTTCCCCCCATACTACCCCACACTTCCAGGTGTGAAATATTGAGTCACCCGCTAGATGCTGTGTTCCTCCTGGTGACACCTGCATCACAACTGTGTCATGCAGTGACTAAGGTCAGCAAGATGAACCACAGCAGCCAATGGACGGGACATTCTTTTCAACACACCAAAGATGTGAGGTGGTATCAGCACATGGAACTCTACAAAACAGCAATGTGACCATCAGACTGATGAGGATTGAGAAGTACAACCCTACTTCTTTTTCAGGATATTGCTGGTTTAATTTCCTAACCCCTTCAAAGAGTTATCTTAAAGTGACTTAAGACCACATGGACTCTGGGCATTTAGCCCCAGGTGCAACCAACCCTGCCATTTTCATGCACAAGTGGAGTGTCTGGTCCCATCCAACTGCAGAGTATTTCAGGCAAACAAAATACCCGGATTGGACACACATGAGCTAAACGTCATGTGAGCATTATTATTATTATTATACAGTATTTCTATAGCACCAGAAAGGTTTGCTCAGCTCTGTACATTATAGTGGGGGACAGTACATGAGACAATACAGTAACAAAACAATACACGAGGGGTTCAAGGGCCCTGCTCCTTGGAGCTTACAATCTAGGAGGGAGGGGAAAGTGGTACAGGAGGAAGTGGCTGTGGGGGATGGAGTGGTAGGAGGAGAGGAGGAGATCGGCTGTTGAGGTGAGGGTGGGGTAGGCTTCACTGAAGAGATGGGATTTCAGGGAGCGCCTAAAGGTGAGGAGGGTAGGTGACAGTCTGATGGATTGGGGTAGTGGGTTCCAGAGGATGGGGGAAGTCCTGGAGAAGTCCTGCAGTCGGGCGTGGGAGGTGGAGACCAGGGAGCTAGAAAGCAGGGGGTCTTGTGTGGAGCGAAGATTACAGGTAGGGTGGTATTATTGGGTATCAGGTAGGTGAGGTAGTTTGGGGCAGTGTTATGAATGGCTTTGTACGTCAGTGTTAGTAGTTTGAATTTAATGCGTTGGGCAATCGGGAGCCAGTGGAGGGAATGACAGAGGGGGGTGGTGGATACGGAGCGGTTGGTAAAGTGGATGAGTCTGGATAGACGAAGGTGGAGCCTGCATGAGTTTACCAACGATTGGACATGGGGTTGGAAGGACAGGTTTGAGTCTAGAGTGACCCAGCATGTGGTCCTAAGTCACTTTAACCACTTCCCTGCTGCCCTATAGCAGAAATACTGCTACAGGGTGGCAGGGTTGTGCAAAATCACATATATATATCTACAGTATATGTGATTTTGCACCGCCATTTGTGGCCTCGGATGTCGATCACCGTGTCCCGGCCAGTGATTCCCCTCCGGCACCCGGCTGAGTGTCACTGATGGGGAAAGACCTTTGTGTAAATAACACAGGTATCTCTCCTGTCAGCTCCTGCACACTGGTTTGTGTGGCTCTGCATAGCATAGCCATACAAAGCAGTGTGCTTACAGTGTAAAATACACACAAAGCACACAGTAAAACACACACAGTTAACCCTTTGATCACCCCAAATGTTAACCCCCTTCCTGCCCAGTGTCATTAGTTCAGTGTCAGTGCTTTTTATTAGCACTGATCACTGTATTGTTGTCATTGGGGATGTCAGTGACACCAAGTCAGTTCTCCCCAGTGTCAGAATGCCCACCACAGTCCCGCTATAAGTGATCACCACCATTACTAGTAAAAAAAGAAATTCCAGTATATATACCGCCATTTGTAAAAGCTATAACTTTCATGTAAACCAATTAATTTGCACGTATTGGGATTTGTAAAACATTTTTACTGGACATATTTAATAGCAAAATATAAAAAAATATAGTTTTTTGTTTCAAAACTGTCGGTATTTTTGTGTATAGCGCAAAAAATAAAAAACGCAGAGGCGATCAAATACCACCAAATGAAATCTCTACTTGTGGGGAAAAAGAGATAAATTTAATTTGGGTGCAGCGTTGTCAGTTAAAGTAACTTTGCACCGTAGCGCAAAAAATGGCCTGGTCAGGAAGGGGGGTACATCCTCTGGAGGGCGAGGGGTTAAGGTTACTCTTTAAGAACATTAGAAAAACAAACCAGCAAGAGGCAAGATTATACTTATAGGTTCTTATTAGTCTGCTGGCAGCTTCATAGTGAAATATTCTGTGCACAAACCCCTCCTATGGTATACTAAAGTGAGTCAGAACTGTATCTAGAATTAAAAAAAACTGCTTTATTTTAGAGACAAATCTATCCATTTTTGTCACCATATTCTTGTAGAAGCTGCGAAAGAAAGGTAGAAAAAAATGATTTATTTTACAAAAATGTAGAAACATACCATGTAGTTTATGTTGAGTCTTTGCTGTTGGTCTGGTCAATGATTTACATATAAACTGCTCAAATCATGAGCACAAGATGCATGCTGGATAAAATAAGTAAAATAAAATGTGTCCTAGTCTGAGGTCACCATTTATATATTGTTTTAGGTCTCCTTGTAACAGTCAAAATAACTGATAAATAGAGCCACACATGACCAAGCCTCTCAGGGAGCCAATTAAAAACAATATACTGTAATACCCATGTGTTTGAGGAATCCTGGCACTGATGTTTGTTATTTTACAACAAAATTAAAAGAAATTTAATTTAAAAATTAAACTTCTTAAAAACCCAAAATCAAACACATTTTTTTGTAAATAACACATTTGAAGTGATTGAGTCATCTAAGTAACAACACATGGGGTCCAATATGAAATAACAGGATCCTTTGCAGCACATTGAGGAGAGGGAAGAGGGGAAATGTTACACATTTTAGGACTTGTCCGGTGCTTAACCTCTTCATGCCGGCCGCACACAAATGTGGGACCTCCCAACGTCTGGGCCTAGACGCCGAGCGGCTGCACATTTGCGTTCAATTAGAAAAAAAACATGTGCTGACAGCGTGCTCCCATGTCCGGTACTCACGGAAAGGTCCCGGTCTTCTCTTTCAATCGGGACCTTTCCCGATCATCTGACCTCCATGAGAACGCGTCACGGCAGTCATATGATCCCTAAACCCCACCCATCCCACCTCCCGGCTTCTGAAACTCTTAAAGGGCCGGGAGGCACCGGCGTAAAGGGGTTAAAACCTTTTGTAAGCTTTCCACATTTTTTGGGCCTGCCAGTCCATTGCATCCTTTTGGAGAGAGGTCCTTGGCCTACTGCGGCTACTTTTACAGGCTGTTA